TTTTTTTTTTTTTTTTTTTGTAAATACAGACAAGCTGACTCTAAAATTTATAAGAGAAGGTAAAGAGTGCCAGGGATTTAGCTCAGCAAGGTCCTGAGTTTGATCCCCAGTACCAAAAATAAAAAAGAGAGAGAAGGTAAAGAAATTAGATTGGTTAAAAAAAGTTTTCATACAAAAGAATAAATTTGAAGCTGTTTGAAGTACCACATACTTGTAACCTCAGCATTCTAGGAGGCTGAGGCAGGAGGATCCTAAATTCAAGCCTGGCCTGGGTAATTAAGCAACACAGAGACCCTGTCTCAAAAAAAATGGGGGCCCCCCTGTGGGGGGCCACCACCTGCCATGCAAGCACAAGGTCCCGAGTTCAAACTCCAGTACCAAAAACAAAACAAAACAACAAAAACAGGGGCTGGGGATGTAGTTCAGTGCCAATCATCTCCCTGCCCTTGACCCCCAGCCTCAGCCAGTTTTCAGCACGGCTGTTCCAGGGAGGCCCCTCCTCCTAGAGATCCCCGCTGTGTGTGTCACAGGTCCTTCCTTCAATTTTCAACCCTCATGGTCTGCAAATGAGCACATACCACATGTACATAGCAACCTGCAAAGACCATTGTGCATCATCCTATAAAGCTGAATGTGCACATGTCCTAGGAAGTCCCACTTCATTTCCAAGGTGGACACCTATCCTGGAGTGGCTCAGACGCAGGCGCCAGGAAACAGGAGCAAGTGTCCACAGCAGCACTGCACACAACAGGAATAAACCAAACATGACCCAATGTCCAGCATAAGGGCACCCAACAGACCATGCTGTGTCAGTTAATGGAAGATTCCACAACACAAATGACTCTTAAGGACTAGGTAGAGTAGATTCCTTAGAGGAAGACATTTCTAAAAAGCCTGAAAGCAAGAAAACTAAATAACACATTGCTCAGCTCATCATGAATGGTCAACTGATCTGGTGCCAAGAATACAAAGTGGGAAGGCGAGTCTCCTCGATAGCTGGCTTTGGGAATCTGGATATTCACATGCAGAAAACAAAACTGAACACACAAGAATCAACTCAAAGTAGATTAGAAGCTTAAGTGTAAGCATGAAACCATCAAGTTGCTAGAAGAACACATCAGAAAAAAGCTTAACTTTGGTCTTGGCAATGACTGTTTGGGATATGACAACCAAAGTAAAAACAAGTAAGATTACATCAAACCAGAAAGCCACTGCACAGCACTTTCACAGAGTGAAAAGTCACACCACAGAATGGCAGGGGATGGTGAAAAGATTCAAGGCTTCAGTTCTATAAATTAAGTACATTCTGGAGATCTACTCTTGGCAGATGGCCTGACTGCTACTGCAAAATGTGAAAATGGCAGATCTTCACAAAGTGCTCTTCTCACAGGTAGTAACAATAACAGGAGTGGCAGGGAATTCTGGGAGGTGGAGGACATTCCCACACGTTGACAGTGCCGATAGTTTCAAAGGTGTAGACTTATCCCCAAACTCATCAGGTTTACACAATTAGTATGGACAGCTTTTTAACATGTCAATCATACTTCAATGAAGTACTTTAAAAAAACAACAGACCATTAAAGAATACCTATGTATGTGGCAAAAACCCTTTTCTAAAATTCATGTAGATGAAAAAGATGAAATCAACAAGGAAGCAACAAGAGGGACTGAGGAGTAGCAGGTAGGTAAATTCCTAGGTTGGGGGTTCGAGTACAGGTGTGTCATCAGTTTGCATCATAACACAGGAAACCATCACACCTCCTGTTGTTTGTATCAAGTAAGATAAATTTTAACATGTTCGCAAGAGCCATCCATGCATGATTGTGCTATGCAGCCAGTGGGACAGTCATGCTTGTACCACCGGCTGTACAAGGCAGCAGGAAGAAGTTAAAGGCACTTGAGACCCAGCCCTGCACTGCTGAGTATGGTAATACTCAGGACACGTAAAATAAGACGAAGCTAATGCTCCTAAAAGCTGAAAACCTCACAAGTTACCATCAAGGTCATGGCACATGGATCTGCTGTCACCATAAAAAATATGAAAATCTGACACTAGATTTAATATTTCACACACACATTAAAATTTAACGTCATCAATATTATTATTCTCAGATTTATCCTAATATCGATGCTGTAGGATTTTAAGTAGCAAATTTCTAGAACTCTAGGAATAAACCTGGTCTGAAAGGACAGGGAACCGAGGCTCACCTATCAATATTCGCCTCTCTGACATTCAGTGTTTTCCATTGCTTCACTACATGTATCTTCATTTAAGGAGAAAAGAGCCCCCTCAATGCTTCTATCTACCACCACTGTGCTTTCTGCATAAAGTATTTTCTACTCAAAAGGTCCTCAGAGATGATATTTAAAAGTAAGTATAAAATTACTGCTTTTGTAATAACTTCCTATAACATCTAGCGCTGTGGCAATCAGAAACAGATCCTGCATATACAGATATGAAAAATGACCATTTTCAACAATCTGGAAATCAATCTACAAGCAAAAAAAAGTTTTTGAAAGGCAAATGAAGCTGCATTCTAAAATCAGTAGTAAACAACACATGTAAAACACTGGCAGGTCAACTCCACTGTATTCCTGACACTATCAGGAGACATCCAATAAATATGCTGAAAGAACTTCTCTTTTGTGTAAAAAGGTCAGGAATTTCCTCTTATTCTGCAATACCGGCCACATACCAAGCAAGAAACCCATAGAGACTACACGTCCTCACCATCTTGGGGGCTGGAACCTTTCAACATGCAAGTGTGCAACAACTGCACCAGCAACTGCAGGCTTCTGTCAGTCCTCGGCAAGGGCGTGTAGGCACTGGTACCCAGCTTCACCAGGGCATCCAGAAGGGGGTCTGAGAGTATCCTCCACACATTCTGTGTTCTCCGCTTTTCACTAGATATTAAAAGACATGCCCAAGTCAACCATCTCGAAAGCATAGAGAAATCACTGCCCATCTATAATCTGTGGGATTGGCTAGCTATTGAAATCAATCACACAAAGTTACTCTTAGGGATGCCTGAAACATCCAGCACCTGCAGAGATGGGTCTCTTGATCCGCACTCTTTCCTAAGTGTAATGATTGTCTAGGGAAGAAAGCACAGGAAGAACCCAGTGGGAGGGAAAGGCCTACACCCATTTCACTTACAAGTCAAACGGTGGAGACCCTGCCTCTGTAATACAGAAAAACAACACAAAACAAAGATAAACTAGATAATCTAGGCAAGCTAGTCAAGGAAATGAAATGGAACACGCTTTAGAAAAAAAACCTAAAGCTTTATGCAAAACTGCTATCACCAACTTGAGTACTAAAACTGTCTAAAAAAAGAGATTTGATGTAAATAAAATTAACTGCCATGCAAACACACTACCAACCTACCTACTAAAGCGATTTATCGCAGTAATTATAATCTGAGAACAATTGATCTGCTCACACTCTCAAAATGTAAACGAGGTTGGTTTATCTTTAGTATCATGTCTTAAAAATTATGTTTTACAAAAGAGTCAAATTCAGCGTCCAATTATTATAGAGAGCTTTTTTTAACTCTTTAAATATAATATTAAATTGTTAAGTTTAACATCTAATTTACCAGCCTAAAAGGACTAATATGCCCTATTCCTATTTGTTTATTTGAAGCATTTCTTTAGTATATTTAAAATGTTCAACATCTATTCTTTAATACTTTATGATCAACTCTAAATATAATTGAAAAGTCTAAATAAACATCATACATCTGCTAGTCCTTCTTTCTAATGAAAGAAATAATTACCTGTACTCAGTCTTCATTCCTTCCACATCCACAGCTAGCAAGATCATCAGAGCAGTCAGCCTGGCCTCAGACCAGTCAGGCATAAAACAGCTTTCTCCTGCTTGAATAATACAAGGTAAGGTTTGCAGAGCAGTAACAAAGTCTTTCAAAGCTGACACTTTAAAAACAAAACAGCCAAGGTAATAGCCTTACCAATATTACACTATTAGAGAAATAAAGCTCATTACTATGCATCCACATGTAAATCTGAACATAAACAAAGCACTGTGTGCCTCCTACTGGCCTGACCTTAGGCTGCAAACCAGCTGACCCTGTGTTCAAGGAATCCAAAGTGCAGTATAAAAGAAAGGCATCAATCAAAGCATCGGCAATGAAATACAGAACTGCAACGTACTTGCTTTAACTGCAAGAGAGGGGCACACACTATAGGGGCGCACATGAGGGGGCCGTGCCCTGGTCTGGACAGCAAGACAAAGTCTTGCAGACAGGACAACTGAGCTGAGTATGACAAATGAGAAGGGATGAGTTGGGTGAAAGGAGATCAGAGCTTCCCAGAAGGAAAGGACAGTGTGGAAGGTCCTGGCAGGAGAAAGCTTGAGTATTCCAGGAAACAGAAGGGTGCCTCTGTGCATCTAAGTGAGAGGGAAGAGCAGAAAATGAGGGGACAGATACAGGAGGATAGAGACCAGGACCCTAGTCAGGCCACCAGACACTTCTTTGTCTAAAGGGCAATAGGGAAACCAGAGATAGTGAATGCATATGAAGGAGGGAGGGGAAACATGTAAACTTTGAAATCAATATTTTGAAATTTCCCCAGCAACAATGTGGACAAGAGACTGCAGGAGAAGCAAGAGCAGATGCAAGGTAAGCAGTTAAGAGGCAAGTTTAACAATGCAGCTGGGTTTTCCCAGGAAAACTCAGTAGCAGAAAGAGGATGGGAAGATAAGGACACCAAGGCTGGGTGCCTTGATGTGCTGGACCCACAGTCTAGGCTTACTCTACTAGGGATGTTTATTTATTACTCTAGCAGGGATGTTTATGTATTTCAACAGGTGTAATAAAAGAATCTTCCAAGTAACAGCACAAAAAATGTACTAGACAACAGAGAGAATAAAACAAAAAAGAGAAATAGTCCAAGAATAAATGCATGCATATTAGAAGGACAGATAATTATCTGATCATTTAAAACCTGTTCCAAGATCAGATTAGAGAAATCAGTAGCAGAAAATGAGTTGGTCTGAGACAAAGCTAGGAAATTTAAAACACACTAAATTAAAAGATGCAATTTTCTGAAATTATGCTAACAACTTTAATGAAGAGGAAGTACTAGAAATATAAAAGGAATCCTCACTAATGAATTTGCTAAGAACTCACCCTCATACATACAAGTCTATGCATTTTCCCAAAGAAGGGAACTCTGCAAAAGTGGTGTTAAGAACTAAGAGTATAGCTCAGTGACTGAGCCTCTGCCTACCATGTAACAGGCTCTAAGTTTGATCCCCAGCACCACAAAACAAACAACAGACATGGTCTTTGCTAAAAATGCAAAGAAAAGAAAAAATTAACACAATCATCCTTCTGATGATTTTTCCCTATAATTATTTCTTATAATCAGTTTACACTAACTATAATGTTTTAAAAACAATGATAAACCATTAATTTCCACATATTTCTATTACAGGGCTTCCAAAAATACACCTGTAAAACTTGGCTCACAAGGACTGAGCAGTTGTATAAAAAATTAATAAATTTACATGTGTTAAATTCCTACTCTGGCAACTTATCAGCTTAAAAAATTTTAGAACAAAGTACAAGTTGGGAGGTAGTATTTTTTACTTTCTACTACTCGCACTTTTTGACATACAAGTTTGACATCAGTAATCATCACACATTTGTGTAAGCTTAAATCTCAACCTCAAATCTAATGAAAACCTCTTTGAAAACATTTTGGTCTCATTAATCTATAAAAACAATTGCAGACTTACTTTCCCAAGCAGGTGATTTAATGTACTCTTGGACCAGGTTCTTCACATAAGCATTCAGAGATGTTTCGGGAAGTCCATCAGGGCCACAGGCCCTGAAAGACCTCTCATTGACACAAAGCCAGTCACAGAGCTGGAAGAAAACAGGCACAGGATTCCTTTATTTTAAAAACCAAGCTAGACAAAGGGTTTCTAATTTTCCTAAGCCAATTACTTTCTTTCACAATGAACTGAATTTAAATCACTAAACACAACAGCTCCTTTGTAAACTCGGGACCACTGCTGACTGAAATGCTATGTGACTGTATATATATTCACACACATTTTGCTGTATGTGTTGTTTATGGCACTCAGTCATGACAATAAACAGTTTATTACTTTGTGGTATTTCTAAAGCATCTAATACAAGATGCACAGTTTGATGAGGTGTTCTAAAGAACATTTCTATGCAAAATAACATTATATAGAGCAAATTACAACTTTAAAATTCTTTCCAGCTTCCTACACTAAAATAAGAACTTTTATGTTTGAGAAAATATAGAATTTTAAATATAAGTTATAATTAAAGTTCCTATTCTCAAAAGCTTTTGTACCATATGTGCCTATTAAAATTTATTAAAAGAGAAATACTATCTCAGTCTTTCTCCATTATATCTTACAGGATTACTAAAACTGAGTCACATAACTTCACAATTAATCCTTGATCAGATTAACTGTGAATTTAAATATAAATCTAGGGCCGGGGATTTAGCTCAGTGGTTTGGTAGCCTGCCTTGTAAGCACAAGGACCCGAGTTCAATCCCCGGTACCAAAAATATATATATAAAAATAAAATAAATAAATAAATATAAATATAAATTAAATGTGATTTAATATGTTCACAACTCTCTTTTTACAATGGTTCTCATGATGTGCACTTCAATATACGAGTTTAAATATGAGTAAGTATGAGCTGCGTCTTTCTAAATAGAATGTTTAAATTTCTACATTAATTAAGGTCATCCAAAATTACCTACAAAGACTAGACATTTACATCATAACATTACATAACAAAAGTCATGGGACACAGCCAAATCTACACTAAAATATACAAGTACATATGTCACACTTTACACGTGGTTCTAAGGTTCATGTCCTGGAAACTGTTCCACAGTGTGGCAGTGGTTTGCTTTTCATTTGGGGATCAAACTTGGGGCTCTCTACTACTGAGCTACACCTCCAGCCCTTTTAATTTTTTGAGATGAGATCTCCCAATGTCTATTCTGCCCATTATCCCAGCACTGAGTGAAGCTGAGATGGGGGGGTCATGAGTTCAAGCACAGCCTGGAAATCAATGAGATCCTGTCTCAGAAAGAGAGAGAGAGTTTAGGAATATAGCTCAATGATGGAGTGGCCCTGAGTTTGATCCCCAGTACCACAAAAAATGTCTATGCCTAAAAGGAAATCACTAAGATACATTTTTTGGGGGGGGTACTGGGGATTGAACTTGGGTCCTTGTGCTTGCCTGGCAGGTGGCGGAACCACTGAGCTAAATCCCCGGCCCCTAAGACACACTTTTAACAAAAAGGGAAAAGAAAAAAATGTGAGAGAATGAAAAGAGGAAAATAAAGTGTTTGTAGATGGGGAGGGGAGGAGGGTGTGAAGGGAGGGCAGAGGTAAGGGGAAAAAATGAGAATCAAGACTTGCCATGTAAAGGTACATGATCCCAACAATGAATGTAATTGTACTGTATCCCTAAAATGTACCAATAAACTCAATAAAATTTAAATTAAAAAAAAAAATCTGAAAGATGGTAAGCAGGCCTATATTGAAAGCTATCATTTGTTTAGGGGCAGGGCAGGACAGAGTAGAAGAACAGGGTAGGGAAATCATATCCTTTGACTAGTAGTTTCAATCTCTAAACCATGGAAAATCACTTCCCATTCATGCAAGCAAAGCCAGATTTTTTTAAGAAAAAATTTTGCAACATGTATAACAATTTACCAATACCTTTAATATAAAGATATTCACAAGGCCTACAGGCCAGAGACACCAAGGAAGCATCCCACCAAGGGAGCTGGGCAGGGTCTGCTTCGCATGCAGGAGAAAAAAGACAGTTGATAGACAATAGGGCACAAGATGACTCAGGCAGAGTAAGAAATATTAAAAATCACTGCAGTGGCACAAACCTGTACTCTCAGCACTCTGGAAGGCTGAGGCAAGAAGACCTCAAATTCAAGCCCAGCCTGGTCAATTCAGCAATTTACTGAGACTATCTCAAAATAAGAAATAAAAAAGGACTAGCATTGTAGGTCAGTGTGAAGGCCATGAGTTCATTCCTTAGTACCACCAAAAAAGAAAAAAAAAAAACCCATAAGATCAGATTGTCGGGCCTAGACAGCTGGGTAGCAGAAAACGCCATTAACTGACAGAAAACAAGACAATAAGGAGGTTTGTGGACTTCCTGTCTTTGAGACTAAGGTGTCATTATTCCTAGCTCATCTGGGCCAGAGCCGGGATCTGCCCCCAGCACTGCTCCACTCAGAAGGCCCACCTCTCCAGCTCGGCTCCTCCCCACCGGCCATGAGAATCCTGGCAGCATGAGATTAAGGCCACTCAAAGCAAATGCACAGATAGTATTTCAAAATCTCTGGTGGGAGGTCACAAAGCAGTTGTTACACTCTACACAGATGTAAGTAAGGAGTTCAATTAGAACATGATTTTGAAAACTGTAAGATTTCAAAGAATTCTTTTCCAGCCTCACCTCTGTCCACAAGGTGGTTCCTCGTCCCAAAGATTCTTCTTGTTTCAGAGAGGTGAGAAAAGTGGAGACATCAGACAGCGATACTTTCTCCTAAGCAAGGAGTTCAAAAACATTACTCAATTTAAAATTATCCAATGAATAAAACAACACTCTGTGGAAGCAAACAAGTACACTAGTCAAAGTAGACTATTAGTAATTAAATCTAATAAAATATTCATCCACTTTTACAGTGAAGGCATCAGTTGTAATCATTATATAAAATGAAATATTTTAAAATATATTTTTGTTTAAGATGAGGTGACTATCTTAAAGAAAGTTACAATCTTTACAAAAAGATATTATTTGTAAGAAGAAATTTCTGCTAATCAAAAAGTCAGTCTTTTTAAAGTAATAAAAATGACCTCCTGACTACAGAAAACCATCAAGGTCTCATGGCCTGCAAGACTGCCTATCTTGAATTAAGTCCATGCTCTGGGCAGGGTCAACAGCCTACTTGTAATAAAGTTCTACCGGAATATGGTTTTCCCTGTTTATTCATAAACTGTTTGTTATGGTTTAAATACAAAGTGACTCCCCCGCAAGACTCATGCATTGAGGACTTAATCCCCAGTGAAGCAATAATCAGAGGTGAGGCCTAGAGAAGTGAGTGGATCGTTAAGGACTCTAACTTCATTAATTTAAAGGAAGTGCATTACAATTTAATGGCATTACTGAGAGGAGATGGAAACAAGAAGTGAGGCCTACTTGAAGGGAGGAGGTCATGGGTGAGTAACCTTGGAGACTTCCTCTGCTCCCAGTTCCTTTGTCTCTGGCTTTCCTTTTCTTTGCTTCCTGGACACCATGAGGAATGCAGCTTTGCTCCACCATACCACTGCATTGTGATGTTTGGTCTCACCTCAGACCCACAGCAAAGAAGCCACCTGACCATGGACTGAAGCCTCTGACGCCATGAACCAAAATAAATTTTTCCTCCTTTACACTGTTTGTCATATATTTCATCCTTGCAATAGCATACTAACAGTCTATGGTTGCTTTGGCCTCTAAAATAATTCAAAAGTTGAATCAGACCATCTGACCTGAAAAGGCTGCACCAGTGGTGGCAAACCTATGGCACATGTGCCACAGCAGGCTATTTGTATCACTGATAGCTCTAAAAGGTTCGCCGTCACTGCCCTAGACCATATTTACTATCCACACTTCTCTCTGCTGACCCTTGCTCTAGGCAAGAGTATTTGTTGATGCTCTGTGTCTTGGAAGACAAGAGAAAGCATAGCGGAGACCAAGCATGATGGAGACCAGATAAGAATAATCCAGCACTGGCTAGCTACCCAGCAGCAAGCTGTGACAATGCACATGAAATGCTGCTACTGCTTCTAGGGAAGTTGCTAGAGACTCAGCACCTAGTGTTCTGCCACTTCTACCTTAACCATGGTGCCATTTCTGACGCTAGGAGGAAGCAAGTGGTCCACATAAGCCATATCCTTTCTGCACACCTGGTACACAATAGCCACACCTATCATTGAGAACACTGTGAATCCTAAATCCAAGTTCCCCAACACTGCAGGCCTCAGGCCAACCTGACCTACAGGCTGGTCCAGAGCTGGATTATAAGCCTGCTATCCAGTTTTGCAAGCTACTGGCCAAGACAACCTTGTAAATGGGAATATCAAAGATAAACTCACCACATCCACCAAATGCATTGCTGTTTGAAGAAGGAAGCACTGCGCCGCGCCTCTCAATAGAATCTGATGTGTGATCATAGTACACTGGATGACGTCCCTGACATCACAACACAGAAACACATTTTCACAGGCTCAGGGAAATTCTGATAACCTGTAATTACTGACTTATAACATCTGCAGCTTAAAATGTAGGAAGTTACTGATAGCCGGGTTTCAAAGCCATTATTTTCCATCATGGCCTCCGACAGTGTTCAACTGAATATGAAATGATCACTTTTAAAAATAATACTATGAAGAAAGATGCTTTCAGAGTAAGAATTTTACATCTTTTGAAATGCTTTCTATTATTATCATTTGATATTTTACCTTCAGTTTTCTACTTAACAATATAATAAAAAAATGTACTGGTCTTAAATGAATCTATCAGAGTACTTATTTAACTTAGTAACTCAAAATAAATTCAATTAGATGAATAAAAGTTTTAAATTTTATTTATTCTTACATAAGATTATATTAACTAAAAACAAGCACCAGTGATGAAAGCAGAAGGAAAAACAAACTAAACCGAGAAAAAATCATGGCAAACAACCATATGTGACCATACACAGAGTATTACCTGAGAGCAAGAAGCCCTTCTAGTCCCAGGGCTTTACATCTTGGGATATTTGCCAATGCCTTAGACAGAAACAAAATGGGAACAGCACACCAATGTCTACTCCTCATCTTCTGAAGAAACTTTAATAGGAAATTACCTAGAAGAAAAAGTTTAAAAATATTATCACTGTCAATAAGCACACATAAAGATACTCAACACCATTAGTTTCAGGGAAATACAAATCAAAGCACCAATGAGATACCACATCACACCCACTACGAAGACCACAATCAAGCCAAGGGTTGGGGAGGCTTTATAGAAACTGGAACAATCACACTGCTGGTGAAAGTGTACAATAGTGCAGTCACTATGGAAAATAGCATGGTAGCTTCCCCCAGAATTAAAGAGAATTACCGTATGACCCCGCTATTTCACTTCTAAGTATGTATCCAAGAGAACTGAAAACATATGCTCATATAAAAACATTTCCATGAATACTCACAGCATTATTCAGAATAATCACAAGTGGAAACAATACAAATGCCTGCGGAATTATTAGTCAGCCACAAAAAGGAAATATTAATATATTACAATATAGATGAACCTTGAAACACAGTGCTAAAAAGCTAGCCCTGAAAGGATGCATATTGTGCAACTCCATATATGTATGTGAAATGTTTGGGATACACAAATCTATGGAAACAGAAGGTGGACTGGGGCTGGTAGGAGACAGGGAGGTGAGAGTGAGGAGTGACCATTCAGGGACAAGGCACTCTTTTTGGGGATGATGAAAATATTCTGAAATCCGATAGTGGTGATAGCTGTACAACTTCGTGAATATATTACACACTGAAATGAACAGCTTAAAAGGGTAGCTTTTACAGGGCATGAATTAAATCTCAATTAAAAAAATGTTATTTCAACGTCATTCTGATCTAGTGAGATAAGTACTGATAACCCTCATGCAGCTGTAGTTTCTGAAAAGTCTTAGCTGTTAGAAGCCAAACTTCAGAGCTACTAAGGAAAAACAGGACTGGAAATACTGATGCAAACCTCTCTCATGGGTCATTTCTAACCTACCCTGGACTCAGTGCCATGAATAGCATGACACTTATTCTCAGATACAAAAGGATAGGGCCTCCTTGCTTCCTCCACTAAACTGGTTTGTCAAGGACCTTGGGTCCTGCAGCAAGTGATATCTAACTGCTTTCTCAGCTCATGTAGATTGACTTTAAGAAATCCTTAGAAGTTCCTAGAAGAGTATGATATGTATTTTGTACCTCTCGGAAGAAACAAAAAAACAGAAACATTTAAGATACATTCACTAGAAACTAGTGAGTACCCCTAGCTTCACTTTCTTCTAATCATGCTCAATAAATCCTTCCATGTGCCTAAGCCCTCACTCAACCCGAGGAGGATGCCCAGGGCCACACTTCCCCTCACACTCAGCTGACACACTCACCAAGTATGTGTTATGCCTGGTCCTGAGCCACCATTCAGCATACAGATCCTTTGTCTCACTTGGTGCTGTGGACAGAGTGTCCCAATATGGCCCACGAGTTCATCCCCAGGTTGCTAGAGCCCAGAAACTTAAAACTAAAAATCAGCTCTAACTGCTGAACTACCTTCATTAACTAATTTTATTTTCAAAAGCAAGCAAAACAAATCATCTTATAAATTTAAAGTCATGATATAGACTGTATTTTTTTTTTTACTTTTAAAAAGGTACATATTACCACTGGTCATATCACCCTATTTGTAGATTAAATACAATGAAAGAAATAGTTCAGACACAGGGTGACTTCATCAGTCACAAAGGTAGGAGTGGAGAAAGGTCTCAGAAAGCAGCAGAAGTCCCTCTGCTAATCAGCAGGCAAAATCACACTGTTCTATGCTCTGCTTCTGAACTCATCTCATGTGAAAGAATAACAAACCACTCATCTAGGGGGTTTTTGTATCTGTCCTTCTAATCTAAGGTGATATCTGTAAAAGACAGCCACATGGATATTCAGTTTACCAGTTTTTCCTAAAACCAGGCTCTTCCTTTGTTCAATCTAGTTTCCTAGTTCTTTTTTTTTGGTACTGGGAATTGAACTCAGGACCTTGCGCTTGCAAGGCAGGTGGCAGCACCACTGAGCTAAATCCCCAGCCCCAGTTTCCTACTTTCCTAGTTCTTAAAGAGCAGACAAGTAGAACTGGTGCTCAGTGGCAGGTCCTCCACCACTGTGCCACGCTGCTCCTGCACCAAAGCAACGGCACAGGCAGTGCAAAGCCTGCTCATGATGGACAGTTGCAAGATTCAGACAACAGGAGCAGGTCCTGGGAAACACTGATTATAACAATCACACAACAGAGCTTATATCAATGTAAGTTTAAAAAAGTACTAAGTTTAAAAAAAAAACTCTCACTGATACATACTCTTTATTTCTTCTGGAAGAAGAGAAACATAAGTGACTAAAAACTTCTGTAATTTTAATCCCAATGGAGAACCACTTCCTACAATCTGGCCTGTGGACCTATAGCCAAAAAAGAGAGAAAAACAAATATTTAAGATCTACTTAAAAATGAGTGTGTGTGCTAAAGCTAAATAGACTACTGCCCCAAATTTTTCCAGCAATCTTTCAGCAAACTTTCTAAATCTGCATTTTATTTTCCAGTAAAATTCTCGGAATTTTTCTTGTTACAGAAACATCAATATTTTCTAGGAAAATGAACGTAAGTCACAACCCCCTTTTCCTCTTATAACACTTTCCTTTATTCACAGACACAAATGAATCTTTCTAAAAAGAGTGGTTCCTCAGTTCATGAACTTAATTCTATGATTCCGGTTGCAAACCAAATGTGACAAGAACTGAAGCAAATTTCCCCATAAGGTCAACACTGAACCTAACCAATGAATTTGATTTGGTTCTCATCTAATTTGGTTTGTGACCAGAATCGTGAAAAGTTCATGAACTGAGGTACCACTGTAGTATCATTTTAAAAAGCTACATAAAATGGTAACTTTGAATTATATTTTATTGTTTCCAAGTTATAATTTTTTTTTTTTTTTTTTTTTTGGTACCAGGGATTGAACTCGGGTCCTTGAGCTTGCAAGGCAGGCCACCGAACCACTGAGCTAAATCCCCAGCCCTTCCAAGCTATAATTTAATGACTTTACAACTTAAGCCTAAAAGAAAGAACATTCACAACAAAGACAGTATTAGTAGTAAATTACTTTTGCAACAGCATTCAATTATTAACATCTACTAAAGTCAGGTTTTTCTCCTCTGTGCTTCTCCCAGGAATATTATCTGCTAAGTGAACACAGGAGAGTGCTGGGAAACTATGGCATCCCATAATAAACATGCATGTCAACTCTTCAGAAAGCACCAGGACTTGGTGACCTTACTGCTCTCCACCTGTCTCCCAGCTCCACAAAACTATACAACAGCAGTGACTTATTTGAAGACTACAAATCCTTGGCAACTCAAGTATCTCTGTGCTCTTTCGATATTTATTAGGCAGACACTAAAAATTAATATTTGTATAACTTGGCACAAACATCAAGCCATTGTAAAATAAGTTGGTGGTAATGAGTGGGAGGGAGTCCTGTTTAGAAGCATTCCAAAGAGAAGACTTAAGGTTATAAAGTTAGTTCAATAGTAAAGGCCAGGTGTGGTGACACACGCCTGCAAACCCAGCACTCAGGAGGGTGAGGCAGGAGTATCGCCACAAGTTTGAGACCAGCCTAGGCTACACAGTGAATTCAAGGCTGGCCCGAACTACACAGTGAGACCCCGCCTCAAAAAAAAAAAATCAGTAGTAAAGAGATGATATAATTTCCAAAGTGGGGGGAATTTTAAAATACAATTTAAGCATATAGGTAATTCTCAGAAAGAGGAGGCAGGGCCAGGGATTTAGTTCAGTGGTTCCGGCGCCTGCCTCGCAAGCACAAAGAACTGAGTTTGATCCCAGGTACCAAAAAAAAAAAGATGAGGCTGAGGCACAATATTGACAAATTCTTTTCACTGCTTGCCTTTAGGTAAAAGCAGCAAGTAAGGAGACAGCTTAGAATCCTGGCAGCCACTGTCATATATGGAAAAGTCAAAATGGGCCCAGCCCTACTGCACTGAAACTGGATAGAGTGGTATAAATTCATAGCTGGACAGATGTGGATATATGGCTGGATAGATAAAATTCGTGGGCAGGTAGGTGGATGGATGGATGGACAGACAATATCCAGACACTGAAGTAGATACAGGTGGGTAAGTCTGGTTGGCAGACAGAGCTAAGAAAGAGATGTATACCCCCGCCACACACACATACAGATGAAAGAGGCAACCATTAGGCAAACACAGTAGAACAGTAAATTTGGAGACTATGGATAAAAGATAAACAGGAATTCCTAGGGTTTTTCTAAGTGTTTTTAAAGTCAAAAGAACAAAAGGAAACAAGTTCAAACCATTGGTCAGCCATAGTCACTGGTTTCCTCAGGAGTAAAAAGCAGACATAATGGGAACAAAGCGGGCTAAGTAAGATAGTTTCCAAAGCCCAAGAATAGAGGGGTTTCAGGCAAGAAAAGAAATGAGAAGGAGGAATACATAACACAAATAACAGACGACAAGAACATCAAGTAGAGGCACTACATGGTTTTTTTATTATATAAAACATCTGTTAGACAACACAGATTATGCACCAAATATACTGAACTGTCTGATCATGCTTGGTAACATCGAATTTATTTATCAAATACACAGTGCTGCATTACTGCCAAACAGCAGAATGTCTGCTATGATGAATGTGATCATTATGTATATCTAAAATGCACCAATAAAATTAACTAAAAACCAAACAACAACAGAATGTCTGTTTACCTGCTATACAATGAGCTCTCTGAAAGTGCATCCATTAATGGTCCAATAATAAACTAAAAAAAAAAAAAAGATAATTTTGTTTTGTTTTGTTTTTTTGAGACAGGGTCTCACTATGTAGTTGAGACTGACCTGGAACTCACTATGTAGCCAAGGCTGGTCTCGAACTCACAGTGATCCTCCTGCCTCAGCCTCCCGAGTGCTGGGATTAGAGGGGTGCACCACCACACTTGGCAAAAGACAGATAATTGATAGAAAGTTGTAACTGCAATACCTATAATGCAAGGCCAAAGGCTGCAGAAACAAATCTGACCCTTTCTACTGCAGGTTAATTCACTAAGGATCCCGGTACATACGGTGTATACTTTAACTCCATCAGAATAAGTACAGAATATTCTTACCTGTTAAAAATCTAACACATACTAATAAGAGTTCACATTGTGGGTTGAGAAAGAGGGAAGGAACCAAAGAAGCACATGCTGAAAAATAATGGTAGTACCAAGAAAAACAAGCTATTCAAGATTTAAGCCCCTGTGCCTAGAAGATAGAGGGGGGAACTTATACTCTAAACTATGACGAGTCACTAGTCAAAAGGCAAGCTTACGTGACGTGCAGAAAGGGGAGGGTAACATAAAAAAAAAATGATACATGTCAAATACAACAGCATGTTTCAATTAGAAAATGGACTGAGATTACCTCTAAAGGGAAGGCAGATTGCCCAACCTAGGGAAGTGGCCTTGGGAAACACAGCCCTATAACACAAGCTGTAATTCTCCTGGTCACTGGGCTCTATGAGGCTTCTGATGAATGGAAGAACAAATTCTGACAAATGCAGCTCAGACAGCAAGCTGTCCTACAATAGGAGAGGACAGTGCTGAACTGGCTTCGCTGTATCCTGTGACGCAGAGCAGTGGGCCAGCATCACCCAAAAGCTTTTGTGCCACTCTTCTTACTCTAGATCAGTGATGGCAAGTCTTTTAAAGCTGAATTTCAATGACACAAAGAGCCCACTGTGGCATGCATGCCATATGTTTACCATTACCGCTCCACACCAATGAGGTGTGGAAAATGATGGTAGAGAACTACTTTCCACCATGGCAAGAACGCCAGAAGCTCTACCATTCAGCTTGTGAAATGACACAGCTTTTTCCAAAAGGGACAAATATATCAAGAGACGTTCTAGAGTGTTCTAATGTGCTTATATGAAGATGATGTAAGACATAACAAATGTCTACTTTTGACAAAGGGACCAAGGAAAGGGAGCAAGAAGAGGGGCTGTCATCACCTCAGAAAATTCCGGTGAGAATGGAAGAGTCATTGTTTCATACAGTTCCAAAAAATGGATGACGCCTTCTTTGGTCAGGATTTTATTTTCACTTTCAAACATTCTTTTATAAATACACAGATGCCAGGAGGGGTGAAAGAGCCAACAGCCTGTGGACAAAAGATATAATGCTGACAACCAACTCTCAACTTTATGTGTCCCCACATAAATTAGTCACAAATCTGTGTACCAACACATAAAGTGCCTTAGGACGTTACAAAACAGTTTGTTTTTAATCACTGAATAACCAAAACAATTCTGGTATTAAGTACTCTATGTTCAGACAGTTTGAGAAGAACTGCAAAAGAATGTAAAAGCTGCGGCAGTCCATAAAAATTAGATGTTACCCCATGCATACAGATGGGAACTTTAGCTCTGGGGTGGTTTTAATCAATGCTTCTCTCACCCCACTCCAGTCCATTCTGCATACAGAAATCTGAAACTGTCACCCCGCTGCCTTAACACCCTCAGTGGCTTCCTGCCACTCAGAATAAAGTCTGAAGGAGAGGCGGACTGCCCTGGCTCCCACTCCAGCCCTGCCCGCTCCTCCACACACATCCTGCAGCTCCTCGGGTTCTTTGTCTGCCCGGCCAAGGTGTCCCATTTAGAGCTTGCGCTGCCTCCCTGATCTGAGCCCAGATGTCACTCAAGACAGCCTTTCCTCACTCCCCTGGCAGCTATTCCATTCCAGCCCCTTATCTGTTCCCTTTATACAACTACACAACTTATAAACAAAACTATGTTTTCCGTGGAAAACAGACAAAAGTCAACTGTAAAAAGTATTGCAACTGTCTTAGGACTTTATCCCCAGTGCTTCCCATGTACTGGATTCTAAGCAAACATCTATTAAGTGAATATATAATCAAATGAGCAAATAGATTATGAGACGAATACCCCTTAGAGATATTTTTCTGACTGATGAAATATCCTTTAATTCTATTAGGAAAAAAAAAATCAGCATTTTTAACTCATGACATTCTATAAATAAATTGGTCTATTATTTGTAATTTACACCAATATGCCCATTCAATTTTTTGGTAATGGTGATTTTTCAAAAACTGTCTCTCTTTATTTGATTTGCCAAGTGCTGTGGGCAAAACGTGGTAATAAAAGCATCATTTTAATCGTAAGTGCATTAAGTGAAGTCACAATGGGATTCAATTAAATGGTAGCCCCAGGTGGGACCATACATGCTTATGGTCTGTGAAAAATCCCAGTGTATCAGAAAACAGCTTTCAGCAGTCAGCTGAATAAAGCTCAATTCCTAAGGGTCAAGCTATTAAAGTTGTAATTATCCAGAGCAGGCATTAAAGCCCATTTACCTAGGTTAATCCTCATGTGTCAACACAGTAATTTATCATTCCTACGAGTACAAAGCACGGCTGGCCTGCATTTCACTGTTTCCCTATTCTAAACTTAATTTCATAACATAATTTCAGGAAACTTCAGCTTCAATGCATTTCCCTTGGGAAGCTCTCAACATATAGCAATGATCAAGACCTTTAAAAACATATTTACACTGGAGGGTGGGACAGGAGGATTGCAAGTTTGAGCCCAGCCTGGGCAATTTAGCGACTTAACAAGGCCTTGTCTCAAAATAAAAAGTGAAAGTAGGACTGGGGATGTAGCGCAGTGTGAAGACCACGGGTTCAATTCTCAGTGTAATCAATCAAGCAATAAAACATTTAAAATTATACCCTGGAATTTTCTCTTCCTAAAAGTCCCAGATACGTAACAGTATCAGACTGCCCCCAAAATCACAAAAATGATACATGTACAAGTGCGTGCGTGTGTGTGTGTATAAAATAAGAATGAAAAGCAGTTAGCATATATACTCATATCCTAACTATACTTTTATAGCAAATACCATTATGAAAGCATTATAAAAGGGTCCTTATCTTTCAAGGATCCAGACTGACAAATTTATAGATGAAATGAAATGATGTCGAGCGGCTGGGGATGAATGGGAAAGGATGCATGTAAGAAGAGACAAGGGTGGCCATAGCGGACTGCTAAGTGGGTGATGGGTTTATTACACTTGAGATTTTTCATAGTCGAAAACTATTCAATTATTTGTACCTCTAAATTACAGAAAAGTGCAGCCATTTAAAGTTACATCTTTGAACAGTGCATAAGGATATGGATGAAGGACATCATGTGGGCACACTGCTGCCTTGGGACAGTGACCCAGAAGAGACATCTCTGAGATGCTAGCAGCAAACATCAACAGGCGATAGCATTACCAGGTTATTCATATTTTCTTCCTTATATTTTAAGTGTTTCCAAATACTCTACAGTAAACAAGAATGTTATAAAACCAAGGGGGAAACTACAAATGTCATTTTTTAAAAAGCAAAAGAGAAAGTAATCATTACCATTTTCTTGTGACACTGCATATTCAAACAGATTGTTTAGCTTTGGTAAGACTGGCTTTATAACATGTATCTAAAAATAAAAGCAAAAAATAATATGAAATGAAAATGCACCTTCAAAAAATGTAAGGGAATGTTCATCTATTTACATAATAGCAGCCCTTTTGCTTTTACACTCCTGTGAAAAATATACATAAGGAGCCCGACTCTTCAAGGTTTTAAATCATGGCATGAATCGGGCGTGCAGAACCAACTACGGCAAAGCTAACAACTGAACACAAGGATGGCAATGGCACATTTACATGGTGAGGTAATGCAAGCCAACATATTTCATGTAACATTCAATTGACCTGGGAGATAGGCAGGGCTGACTAAACCGATGTATTTAAAATAGAAAAAATAGCCGGGCATCGTGGCACATGCCTGTAATCCCAGCACTCGGGAGGCTGAGGCAGGAGGATCACTATGAGTTCGAGACCACCCTGGGCTACATAGTGAGTTCCAGGTCAGTCTCAACAATATAGTGAGACCCTGTCTCAAAAAACCAAACCAAAACAAAACAAAAAGATGGAAAAAATACAGGAAGCATTTTCTTCGATCACTGAAGTAGTTCAACCTCACATATTTACAAGCAGAGAACATTCAAAGCTCAATGTTCTTCATGCCACTCAGACCAGGACAGAGGCACCTCTGCTCATGTTTAGTTTGGATATCCTTTGAAATATATGCACACTATGTCTCAAAATAAATAATGAAGCTCTGTGGATCTACTCACCAATAAGGTCTACAAGTTTATTTCAATTTAGAAATGCTTTTTATTCTTCATTCTGCACTGCTGTGTATATGGTACCTAAGTGATTTCCCTACTCCCACTCACCATGCTTGCTGTACATGGGGGCTGACCCCTCACTGGCTACAACCTACAACCTGGGGGAATAATGTAAAGGCACCGCATAGAACTTTGCACAAAACTCAAATGCTCAGGCCCTAATCCAGACCTACCAAATCAAAAAGTATGGGGATGAGCCTAGCAATTTATACTTTATAACAAACTGTTTGCATGATTCTGAAAAACGTTAAAGTTTGAGAATGCCAGGGGTCGAAGGGAGGGGAAGGGAATGGGAAAAAGAGAAGAAGATACATCATGTACAGGTACAAAAGCCCTATAATGAATGTTATCATTATAGATATCTAAATTGTACCAATAAATGTTTTACTTTTTTAAAAAAAAGGATATCCTTCAGAAAAAAAATTAAGTCTAAGAATGCCAAGGGAAAATCAAAAGACTCAATTTTTTGAATTATCATTTGAGTTGAATAAAAGAACTAATTTCCTGAAACAATTTACATTCTATTTTAAAATAGTATTTGTGCCAGAAACAAAGGATGTTTGGGTTCTATCATGCTGTATCTAAATTGGACTTTTAAAGAATGCTTGAAAAAGAGAAAAATTCTATCTATTGCAGGACTTGCTACAACTTGAAAAAACTTACCTGATTCCCTTCTAGAGTTTCCATAATTAAAATATAATTTTCCCAAAATTTTAGAAGCTCATCTTTCTTCTTCTCAGACCACCAAAACAGACTTGGGCCTATTATGATGTAAAAAAGTAAAATTAGTACTCCTTTTTTATGAATTTCACAATTTTCTTCAAAATAGTAGTCGGTAAAATAATGCCAGTATCAACAAAAGTTGCATTCCTTAATAATGTAGGACATCCTGTGTCCCAATCTAGATTGTAATCTCACAACGAGGATTTTGTGCTATTTTAAAATTCAGATTACTGTTGTGAAATTCTCAGTAAAAATGACAGATTTCACATATAAGCTGTACTTTCCATAAATTCTAACAACAGAGGAGGATTTAGAAAAACACAGGAAGAGATAATAGCAGTAAAATTTAGAATTTGAATATCAAATTAAAACCAAAGTAACTCAAGAAAAACAACTTCTAAGTTAACATAGGGAAAGCTAAGAAATAATTCAATTTATTTCAAAATTTCCCAAGTCCAGGGACTTGGCAGCAAGTCCCTTGGTTGCTTCTACAGGTGATTAAACTAGATGACTTGCTCAGGGATCATTTAAGAAAAGGATGCTACTTAAAAGGGGACATTCTAATAATAAACATCACTTGCTGAGAACTAAAATTTGGTAACGAAAGTAAGAAACTCACTCAGGGCTGGGAAGAAATCACCCAGGGAGTACAGAAAAAAGACAAAATCCTTAGGAGAAAAAAAGACGCTACTATGCAGAAAAGTCCAGAAGATTTGATGTCTAAAAAAAGAGAAAAGAAATTGGAAGGGAAAGGAAACTCAAGAAAATTTCCCAGCACCAAAGAATATAATCTTCAGCCTTAATAGATATAGCAGATTAAGCGCCCAGCAAAAGGATGAAAATAAATCTGTAAAATTCAGAAATTTCAGAAGCTGGGGCCACAGATCTGAGTTTCCAAAGAGAAGGCTCAGATTATACATAAAGAAACAGGATCCAGGTGGAGATTTGGCTGAGTGGTTCCATCGCCTGCCTTGCAAGGACAACATCTTGAGTTCAATTCCCAGTACCAAAAAAATTAAAAAATAAAAAATAAACAGGATCCAGAATCAATTGGCACGTCTTAATAGCAGCAATGAAAACTTTTATCTTCCAAGTTGAAGTGGGAAGGGTAGGGGAAAGGTAATAAGGGAAAAGAAAAAATATGAGAAAATGGAAATAAAATGTTTGTCAATGGGGACGGGTAGGAGGGGGTCAAGGGAGGGCAGGGACAAGGGGAAAAATGAGAACCAAGACCTGTCGTGCAAAGGTGCAAGATCCCAATAATGAATGTGACTGTACTGAATACCTAAAATGTACCAATAAACTCAATGAGAGAGAAAAAAAAAAAAAGTTGAAAAGCCAAAACCTTTAAATTTTTTGATCAAAACATTTTCCAAGCTAGAAATCTGCTCCTGATCAAACCATCAATCAAGCAAATATGAAACAAGGATGTTCAGACATGTGCAGTCATGGCTTCAACTTCAAACAAGAGAAAACCATAAATCATTACTGCCTCAAAGAGAGAAGGCTGGATAATCTGCTAAACCCTAAAGTGTCATCAGGCCTGGTTGAATGGCTTCCAAAGGCCAAAAAGTCCCCAAGCACAGAAAGGACCTGCAAACTGTTCTACCTCTGGATGTGCACAGAAAAGAGGCAGCAAAAAAAAAACCCAAATAAATAAATAATAAATAAAAACAAAAATGGCTTTAGAAAAATGGCATTTTTAATGAGTTTTTAAAGGCCGAAAGCGAGCTAGCTTGACAGCTTAGCAGCCCTGAGGATGCCAGGGAGACCTGATCTTGCCTGAAGAGGGATTCTGGACAGGGAAGGAGACTGGGAGGGCCAGACCTGCAGGCCTGCCTCAGTTTGAGGGCCAGCAGGATCCACTGTCAGCACCACCAAAACCTCCAGCCCGGCCCTTCTTGGCCACTGACAAGAAATAAAAGCATGGATCACCAAGGAGGGCCAGGAAGCCCTCCAACAAGTGCACCCTTGCCCTGCCCTGATGCCAGGCAAAGCTGGCTGTCCTTGAGAGGGACAGAAAACCTGCTTCCCTGACACTGCACTGTGACTATTAATCAAAAGCATCTGTGGCCCCAGTGGGGAAGGAAACCTGCTCCTGCCAGGATCCTGCACCCAGACAAAGTCATTCTGGGCTGCAAGGCAGGGCAGAACACTGGTGCTCAAGACTTCTCAAAACATCCAGAAAGCAGCCAGCACAGGAGGGCAGGGTTACCCCAAGCCCTTTGGCAGCTGGGAGGCAGAGGCTTTGTGCCACTGGAGAAGGAGTGGAGATAGAATCAAACACACAGGGCCTCAAATGAGGCTGGAGTAGTAGAAATGAAAACCCCTGCCCCTAACTCAAACTGGCACCAAGCATCAGCAGTCAGGCCTTAGAAGACCCCCCAGCCGTGACCCAATCCAGGCATCCAACTTGAGGAAAGCCTTAGGTCCTTCAAGCTTACCCCTAAGCATGACAACACAGGAAGAACCAGAAAACCAGCATGCACTAAAGGCAGGAACAGCAACAGCAGACTCCAAATCTAGCTCAACAAAGAGCTAGCTCCATTCAACACTGAGGACGGAGGGCTTAACAGGAATGCCCACTTCCAGGCAGAAATGTTTACTGACGTCTCGAATGTTATCCTGACACAGAAAACAGTGCCTCCATGGCCAAAAGACAGAACAGAAAGCAAAGACAAACCTACATATCAATCTTGTAGCTAACCACAATTACGTTGAAGGACCTAATGGAAAAGGCAAACAAAATGCATAAACACATAGTGGATGGGGATTTTCAGAAGATGTCAATTATTTCTTAAAAAATTCAACGGAAATGCTGGAAATAAAAACCTGTTGTCAGACACAAAGGATCTTTTGATGGAATTATCAGACAGGTAACCTTTAAATTTCCATCTCGGAAACTACTGGAGGGAGAGTGCACTACAGACAGACAAATGGGTAAAGGTCTGAACTACAGGGAAGAGGGATCCAGGACAGGACTCAGGAAGAGAATCTGGTGACAAGAGATCCATGGGCATCAGGAGTAAGTGTAAGGACTCTAGAAAAGACTTCCTCGGGAAAACTTACAAAGCATCTTATGGTCTGACTGTAAAGGAAAGATTTAGACAACTGGTTGAGAATTTAGGGCTGGATTAGTGATTAGTATGGACAGAACCAAAAACAGCGACTATCACTTTCTACACACATCATCTATGAATAGCATTTAAAAAGTCTCAAAGTGGTAAAGGCGAATATACATCTAGCCGAAAGATTAACTACGGCAATGGATTTAAGATATCTTCTTCAAGACACTGAAATAAATACCAAAATATTCAGCTGAAAATGTCAGTGATTTCTTTTAGCTTCATATTTGGGTAGTATTAGTAAATCCTGCTCATGAGAATTATCATAGGGTAAAAAATAGGAGCATTACCAAGGGAAATTTCAAAAGAATGATGCTAACTCTAACCTGCTTAGGTGCATAATCTTTGTTTCAAATCTGGTGGATGTCAACTCCCCTCCCCCAATGACTCGACCACGACACTGAATTTGGGTCTGCAAAATCCTGTATGGACCAGGTCACCTCCCTATACTACTTCACCCATCTCTGGGTCTGACTGTTCCTGGCTGCGGAGACTGTGTGACTTCACAGGACACCCTCCAGAAGGGGTTCCCAAGGCTGTCAGGCTTTAGGAGTGCCATCTGGAATGGCCAAATTCTACAAGTATGTTGTGGGGCTCCCAGAAGCCTGCTTTCAGAAGACAGTAGGGTCGGCGAGGGCCTCAGACAAATACCAGTTCCTTCCGGGAGGCCGCAGGTGCCGCAGACGCCCCTCTCCAGGGACACCTCCACCGCCCTCTGCAGTAGGTAGCGCGCACGCTTGCGTGTCAGGGCATCCTCGGCACAGCCCAGCCCCGCCTGC